ATAACTCACTGTACCGACATTTTGAATTTTTTTACTAATGTCTCAAAAATGTCGATATAACCAGAGTGGCGTGTATAGATTATAAGAAAAGATTCTTTCATTTAAAGAATTGTTTTATAAACTATATCGTATACGTTATTAGTTAACATTTTTGCATTGATTATCAAACTTTTCAACGCAAATTATATTAAGAAATTTGAAAGGTGTCATTGTTCTGGTCATGAAATTTTAAAAATCGTAATATGAAATAAAAGAGTTCAAATATTTTTTTGAATTCAATAACAATAATATTGGAGGCTAAATGTTTGAAGAAACTAAGGGAAAAATACATTTTTGAAAATAAAAATAACACGATTCAAGTAAGAATAGCTTTAGAAAATGGTGCTTTCATTCTACTACCACTTTATAATTTTACTGTCGCTATCGTTAAAATTTTTTATTTGATGCAGTTACTTTGACTGAATAATACCATATAAGCGCGTAATAACGCGCAGGGCGCGTTATTTCGGGATAATTCGAAACATTTCGTAAATTTTGAAAAAATTTTCAATTCCTAAGAGCTTTCTTGAGACATCATAATAGAACTAAAAAGAGATACTTAGTTTTTTTTGAGATAAAGAGCATATAAGGCTAATAAATTCTAGATATATTGTTAATTATATTTGATATGATAATAGATAGGTTTTAGATTTAGAGGTTAAACCTGAGCTTATCATATTTAAATTTATTCGACGATTCAAAATGGCACATGAAAGATAATCTGGTACATATGGGGGCGCGTTATTTTAAAACGCGCATGGACGTTATTTTGATTCAAATATGCCATTTTTAAAACAATTGAAATAACGCCCATGTACGTTATTACGCGTTTATACGGTAAGTCATCAATCTGGCACACATTCAAGAATTGCGTTCTTGGTTTTGCGTGATATCATCACGAAGCTTATTGGATTGGAGCTGTTGACTAATTAACAAGAATTTATTATATTTAAGTCTTCTGAAAATGCAAAAAAGAGGTTTATATGCCTGACAAAAGGTTGGAAGAAATGATGATAGAAGAAAAAGATTATCGTCAATAGTACTGAAGAACGGTAAGACGGCTCAAACTCAAACGGGCAAAATATTAACGAGAATGAATTCAACATGACAACAAATAAATGACAATGATTAACTTATATACTAATCGTAATGTTATTATATATGAACTTAAAAAGGTACCACATTCATTTTCAAAAACGAACAATTATATAGACCTGATTATATCTACAGTATGTCAAATAGTTTACAAGTTAATATCAATTCAACCAATTAAGTATATCAATTGACATACCCGTAAGGTGCTGACTGGTCTTTATGATGAACCCACCCGGTATACATTTTTTCATTCAACTTTACGGTTTTTAACGTTTTACACCAACAGAGTATTTCTTCAAGATATAATATGAATTGCCCTTGGATACAAATTATAGTCAGCAGCGCACAAAATTGTGGCATGATGTATCCTGATTTTTTTTCAATGATGTTTCTATGAAATGGAATTTTGGGGAGTCCCCCCAGACGCATGAAATCCCGTCTTTAATTGGATAAACTAGATTAAGTCAGCTTAGCACAGCTCAAAATTAAAACATCAATAAAAAATAAATAAAAAAATTCAAAATATTTTTATTAAGCGAAAATATTTTATTTATGCACTTCCAGAATTCTTTCTACTAATAATAAAAAAAAAAAAGGAAATAATTAAAACATTAATGAAAATACGCAACTAAGAAATTTTTACAAAGTTTTTATTCGGTACTTTATTCTCAAGAGACAAAAAAAATTTGCTGAGACCTACGTTTACAAGCTTGTAATTGTCCGGAGCGGAGTGGAGGACTTACTGTCCAGACCTCTGTCCAGACCACTGTCACGGGTGCACCTGCAAAAATATATAGATATTTAATTTACCTGGGTATTTTTGTCCGGAGTGGAGGACTTACTGTCCAGACCTCTGTCACGGGTGCCCTGTGAAAATATGGAGATATTTAATTTATCTGGGGTATTTTGTATTATTCATAAAACATGAGGTTTAAATTCCGGTAATACGAATAGTTGTGATGTATGGTTTAGTAAAGTAGTGGTGTATGGTACTAAAATTGCAATTGTGTATACAAATAGCATACTATACTTAAATATATATATTTACACAAATGTGTATGCTAAAAAATTTAATATATATTTGATGAATATGCAATATTTAAACTTAAAGCAATTAAGCATTTATTTCATTTATTTATGACATTAGATGTTTTATATTTTGCATCTACATTATATATATATCGAAATATTTTATAACTATATCGATATAATTAATTAATTAGCAGAGTTTAACTTACGCTCTTTTTCAAGATTTGATAGTTCAATTAAATGAACTTTTGCTTTTCTCTCCCACAAATCAAGTTCACGTTCTTTTAATGCTAACTTTCATTCTAAGTACTCCAGCTTGTCATATTTTGAGCTTTCATCATTACTGCTTTCATTAGTATCTTCGGAATCAGTATCAATCTTTTGAGTTTTTTGCTTTTTTGGTGTAGAAGCATTTTTCTTTTTTTTTTTTATTTGCTCTTGGTTTTGTCGTATTTACTTTTTTAGTTTGAACCTTGGCTAATTATAAAATAAATTTAGTAATATGTATAATAAATAATTTATTTGCAATAAATATAGTTAATTATTTTAGATTGTCTATAGTACCTTTAGCTTATTTTATAAAAGATTACGTGAAATAGGGCCTTTATTACGTCCTTGATAAGGTATATTATATTGCTGATGAATATTAATTGCTGATGAATATTAATTGCTGTAAATCTTTCTTTACCTAATTTATATCCTCTATAAAAAATAATAATAAATAAAGTAAATTTATAATGTAATTTTTATATTTACTAAATATATAATATATACTTACTGTAAAATTGCATTTATTAATTTAAGACCTTTTCCACATTGATTACTTAAAGCATGTGCGGCTTCCGCAACATTAGTATTATTAGGAGGTATTATTATCTATTTGTGAAGCATTTTTATTAAGTGATGCAATGACCCATTTTTGTTGATAAAATGAGACCCAATCTAATAAAAATATAAATTTATTTAATACTATATAATAAGTTATTTTTTAAAAAAATTAAATATGTTAACCTGTCAAATTTTTATTAAGTAATTGAATTTTACTAAATAATTTATTAATCGCATCTTCGGAATCGGCTATAAGAAGTGCAAGCATATTATTTGTTATAGTGCTATTATATTTTTTATTTAAAATATTTCTGTAATAAATAATATAAATAAATAAATATAGTAAATAAATAATTAATTAATTAATTAACTAAATAGATTTTAATATTTGCCGTTTATAATGTACTTGGCATGACTTAAATATATAAATTAAATGTTCCTCCCAGCTTTTTGTTTTATCAATTTCATTTAATGCCATGCCAAGACCTTGTGCTTGGGCTAAATCCAAGTCAGCAATTATACAGCTCCATCCAGTTCCATGTATATGTTTAAACTGAGGTGATAAATTTGTTAATTGAGTTATAAGGTCAAATAAAGAGCGAAAAATTCTTTAATATGCAATAGTTGTCGCACAATTAGTAAAAACTCTAGCAAAAGTAAGAACTAAAATAATATAATTAAATAATTTAATAAATATTTAATAAATACTGTATTTAAAATATAATAAATTATTAACTTACTTAAATTATGAGAATTATTATAATAATTAATTTCAAACTCATTAATCTCTCCAGCTACACATTTGAAAGATAAATCTATTTGAAAATATTTGCATTTCATCCATTCATTTAATTGTTCAGAAGTTGTACATATAATTAATATGTGTTGATCTTCGAAAAATTCTAAAAAATTAATTTATAAATAAATAATTTAAATTAAATTAAATTAATAAAAAGTTAAATAAATATTTAAATACCTAATCATTTTATATAATCACAGATATTATTAATATTGCAAGAATAATTATAAATAACTCCAAGTAATCCTTGATCTTGTGGGTGTATTACTTTTTGAATTTTATTTATATAATATCGAAGATGATCAATATTGTTCAAAGAGGCATGAATATTTGCAAGATACTCAGTTCCAAAATAAGATTTAATCAAATTTCCTAAGATAATAAATATATTAAATTTTTATATAAAAATAATTTATCAAAATTAATTATTTAGGAATTACTTTGTTTTTATATCGATACTTCTAATAATTAAATAGATATTTAATTATAAGACATTTTAATATTTTATTGAAAAAAACAATTCAGTTCCCACTAGAATGAAAAGAAAAAGAAACGTTGAAAACATGAAACAAACAAAACAGCTAAAACAAACAAAACATTACAAACAAACAGAACAAAAAGAACCTATTAAACAAACACAATTAGAACCGTGGACAACATGTATTAACCAAAACAAAACCAAAAATAACTTGGAAACAAAGCAAGAAAGCTATACTTCCCAAGTTTCGTTTATACAAGACACAATAAGAAAGATAGAACCAATATGGGAAACCAAAATAGAAGAAGAAGACAAATATATAGAATCATTAACTATAATCGCTTTAAAAAGCATTGTGTTAATTAAATGCTACAAAAAATTTTAGCATACCAAAGTATAATAGAATTAACAAATAATGCAGACAAAGACACAAACGGCACTACAAAAACAGAAGAAGCTATTAAAAATCAAAGTGAAAAAAACATAAACAAAAGAGATAAGAACTTAGAAACATTATATTTAACAGTGTCAGACAACATATCAGACAAAACAGAAGTACAAAAAACTACTCAGTTAACTGAGGACAATATATGGACACCCAAAAAACAAATACCAAAGATAACACAATCAATTGAAAATAGTATTTGGGCATCTAAAGGAGATGCTTGTAAAAACATAGGAGAATGGCAAGTGAATATATTAAGCTGTAATGTACCAGATAATAACAAAGATGAAAGGTTTAAATATGTTAAGTGGATTCTTCAAAACAATAAACATATCAAAAACATAAAAGAAGTTTTTGAAAAAGGAAACTACTGGTATAGAGTTATATTCGATTGTCAAAGCAGTTGTTTAAATACATGTGAATATATAAGCAAAAAAGAAGGAGAATGGCTATACATGATACCTAACACTAATAATCCTACAAGCCAAAAAGAAGTGGAGAATAATAATATCGCAAAACTAAAATCAATGAGCTCAGGAAAGAATGATAACACCATTGGTTTACAAAACATTATTCTCTGGGATTTACCAAAACACACAAGCAAAAGAGAAGTTTTGAATGCAACAAAATTTCTGGGACAGATCAATAAAATAAATATTAGATATAATGAAAATACAACTAAAGCAATCATTATGATCAATAACTTAAAAAATCATAAACAGATCAAGTTAGATGATATTTGGTCTATTCCTTTAAACAACAGTGGCAAACTTGTTTGAATTACTCCTGCAGAAAATGCAAGTGAAATTATCAAAAACAGAAAATAATATAGAGCATATATTGACAATATTCCAAAAAGAACAAACGAAGTATTGCTTAAAAGATCGATTGCATATCTAAGACCCAAAGCTCTACATATATTTAATAATAGCAATAGAAATCAAAAAAGCAAAGGGTGTATAGATTTCGAAAATAAAAGAGATTTACTTAATGCACAAAGACATAAAATTATCTACAAAAATACAAGAATATATTGGTCAGATCATAACGATCTTAAGGAGCAAGAACAGATTTTTGTAGAGAAAGAACAAGATAGAAAAGATATGCAAACCAGATATCAGTTAAAGAATTTTCCATATATTTATCAAGAAGTAAACAATACATACAAGTTCCATGGAAACTCTAAGAGAAATAACAAGAGCAAAAATATGTATAGCGAAAACAAAATAGTAGCATCAACATTTCATAAAGACATTTCATAAAGACATACTTACAGATATAGCTAATGCAATCGAAAATCTATATACTAAATTTAAACAATATAGAATAAACTCACATAATTACTTCTGATATTTACTGCCAAGAGCATCTCAACAAAGATGGCAGCTGTGCATACACAACCCCTTAAAAAATTTAATAATCAAGAACTTTTTAACAAACTTTGCATAGAAACACACAACATAAATAGAATACTTACAAATCAATACAAATTAGATTCAGTATGCACTTAATAGAAATGAAATCAATTGACATTCTTGGAATTATAGAAACCAATTTAAGTAACAAACAAGCAAAATTTATAAGCAATAGTTATGGTCAATTTACAAGCATCTAGTCGGATGCAGAAACTGGAAAAGCAAAAGGATCAGGTTTGGGAATTATTATTAGAAAAACATGGGAAAAACACATAGGAAAAATTGTACGAAAATCACTATACTATATGAGTTGCATGCTTTATTTTAAAAAAGTTAATATTGTTATAATCCTAGTGTACCTTACACCGAACAATAAAAATACACTCAAGCAAACTCAACAACATGTGATCAAAGGGCTACAAGAGGCAATAGATAAAAAGGAAACACATTATATAATCTTAGGTGACTTTAATTGTAATCCTAACAATGACACACAATATACATACAAGTACAACCCAAAGGCCAAACATGCTCTGATAAAATGGCTACAAAGAACAGGCTTTATAGACATGTATATGTTAACAAATCTGGGTGGAGCAGAACCAACATAGTCAAACGGCCACACAAGCTCTCGCATTGACTTTATATTTGCATCAAACAGTTGGCATAAATATATAGTAAAAACAACAAACATGAACATGTCAACAATAACAAGCAGCGACCATAGTCTGGTTTTAACAGTATTCAATATCTTTTATTTCAAGCACAAGGAATAATAGAACAAAAAGGAAAAAAAGAAACAGCAGAACAATATTCTTATATCATAAAGCGGAAGCTGAACATTGGGACAAGTACAGGTTAATCTTGGAGCATAATTTGCAAGGTAATACAGTACTCAAAAATTTGCTCAAAACAGAGAATAATAATAGTGAATCAATCAATCAAACCTGGAATATTATACAAAAAGCAATACTCATGGCAGGAAAAAAAGCTTTACCTCATACAAGGCTTAAAGGGGACAGAGCTCAACATAAGTTTCGCCAGAGAGTATAAGAAATTAAAAGCCCTAGGAAAGTACTGTTATATAGCCAAAAAAAACATTGGTAAATCAATTGATCTAATTGATAAGATGATTTTCAATACCCGGATAGAAATGATAAATAAAGAATTCCAAACTGAGATCATGGAAATTGATCGAGTTTGGTCCAAAGAGTGGCTCGACAACACAAGAAGTTGGTGGAAAATTTTAAGAAGCAAAGTGCAAAAAGAAGAGGCAAAGTTAAAGGAAAAAGAGATAAGGGAAAAAATTAATAAGCATTGTGAGCTCATCCGATCTGATATTAGAAGAATGCTAACAAATATCTTAGAGAAGCCAATTAACAAAATCAAACTGGATCGTATAATAACAGAAAAAGCAAACTCAATTAATTTAATCACAGAGGAGAACAAAGTAGAAAGTGAAATCAACAATTACTTCAAAGAGTAGTTCAAAAAACGTAGTTTCAGTAGCAGCAAGGTAAACAATTGTTAAAGCAAAATCTATTTACCAAAAAAGGAGATCAAAGAAGAATGGTATTATTCTATATCTGAAACAGTTGATGCAGCAGAATGGAAGCAGACAATCAAGGGTATGAATTCCAAATCAGCAGCTGAGATTTCTGGAATAGGATACCAATTAATAAAAGAAGCATCAGCGAGCGTACAAGACATTTTCAGAATCTTTGTCAATAAAGTCATCAGCACAGACATTATCCCGGAGAAGTGGAAATTGAGTCAGCTATATCCAATTCCCAAGTCGAGTGACTAGGAGTTCAAACTAGATAGAGTATGTCCTATTATTTTACTCGAAACTTTCAAAAAATGCACTGTTAAGGTAGTTGCAATGAGACTTTCAAAAATCATAAAAGAAAAGAAAATTCTATCAAACTTAAATTTCGCCGGACTTCCAGGTGAAAGAACATCAGACCCAATACACATCCTAAACAACATAATGGAAGATGCTAAGAGTAAAAAGAAAGAACTATAGCTGGTTTTCCAGAATATTAAAAAAGCATATGACTCAGTGGCTTGGAATTGTTAAAATGGCACTAATAAGAGTTAATATACCAGAAACAGTCAGAAAATTTATTATAAATTTGTTCAAAGGGCGTAAAATTAGAGTAATTACCCAGCACAGTCTCACTGAAGCTTTCGAAGCAGGTGACAGGATCGATCAAGGAGAGGTAATCTCTCCCCTTTTGTGGAAAATATTTTACGATCCCTTGTTAACGAAAATTCAAAGCCTAAATAGTTGTGGGTATAGAATATCTATTAAGTGGCCAACGGGTATTCAAGACAACGAAAGTAAGGTGATTACAGAGAAACAAACAACTCTTGTATATGCAGATGACACTGTCTGGATCGCAAAAAGTAAATCTCAAATGGAAAAAATTATTGCTACTTCGAATGAGTTTTTTGAGTTGAATGACATTCACATAAACAGAGAGAAATCAGAACTGCTAATCATAAATGGAAAAGTAGAAAGCAGTCAAAGATTAGTTAGAATTGGAATGCCCACAGTTACAATCAAAGCTGTTAAGCCAAGAAAACCAATCAAATACCTTGGTGTTTGTTCTCTGAAAAAGACACTATGAAGCTAAATATAGATCGAGCAAAAAAAGAAATAGGAGATATTGTTAGAATTTTTAATAAAAAAAAGCTCTCTTTAAGTCGGATTATCTATATAAATAATCATGTGCTAATGCCGCGTTTGGAATACAAGTTACAAACAATGGCAATAAATAAAGCAAGATGCGACAGTATATCAAGGCCCTTGTACAAAGCAATCAAAAGGAAGGTGAATTTAGAAATGACCTTGGCACATAACATGGTAACATCATGGGTCTGAAATCTTTGTAGCAAGCTTTGTCAGAAGCCCAAATTACATGTTTATGGATAAATCTGAATAAAAACTTGTTAGTAGGTAGAACGACAGAGATTTGGTTAAGGCAAGCACAATTGGATCTTGGTTTAGTACAGGCAATTATCGAGCTCAATTAGAAGAAGGCTAAAGAATTCATAAGCCTAGGTGTTAAAAATAATTGGGCTTGCGCGATGCTCTTTGAAGCTCAAAAGTTAGGCTTCAATGTATATAGTAATCCTGCAACAATCGAATGGCAAATCGAAGGGCACGGCTTCACGATCAGAGAATTAATAAGTAGAAAAAAAGTGGATATAAGCTCTGCAACTACCCTTAACATCTTTTACTTAAATCAAATAATCGATTCATGTGGCAAATTCTTATTAACTTGGCAACAAATAAGAATGCTGCGCAAAGCCACTGTGAAAGGGAAGAAGGTGAATTGGTTTAAGAAAATAGAGAATACTGTTTTGGAAGGAAATGCAAGTAGGTTGATCAAGAAGAAATACCAAGCAAATGCATCTAACAATGAAGCCATGTATATGCAACTCACAGAGATTAAAAAAACAATAAAAAAACAAAAGAATGGTGCTTGTTCGTAAATAAAGATGGACAAAAAGTGATCAGAAAAATAACAGACAAGAGGCACGCTAATAAAATAACTCTAACACACTAGAATTATAGACAGAATTAGAATTATGCAAAGGCTGTACACATGGATATATTCAGAACACGCAGGAGCATGACTCCTGCTACATAAAAGTTTTAAAGAAAGCAGAAATTCAAGTGGTTACACATTGTAAGAAATTAGCTTGTGACAGTGCAATAGTGGCATATAACATTGATGCATGCAGAATTAGTAAAGAAACTTGGTTAGAATCAGAGCAATTTGCAGAGCAAACAAAAATATGGTGCCCACAAATCGAAGAGGTTTTGATTAATAAGCAGGTTAAAAACATAAATAAAAAACAAGAGTTAACAGCGAAATTGCATAACAATAAAGGTAGAAGTTCATACAAAGTATATACTGATGGTGCATATAAGAAGGTAGAAGATGGGGAAATAGCAGGAATTGGCTAGATAACAATCGATACTATGTCAGACAAAGAAATAGACAACTATAGCGGTGGAATAGAATTGTAGCCATCAGCCATTAGAGCAAAATTAGTAAGTATATGGACAGTGTTGTTAATGATACCACTCAATAGTGAAGTTATCATTTGCACAGACTGCCAAGGTGCAATTAATACTATACAAACACTTATTAGTAGAGGTAGCAAAGTCAAATGAGAAAAAATAGAAAACTTTGGGTTCGTTGAAAAAATCGTAGAATTAATCAAAACCAAAAATATGAAGATAATATGGAAAAAGGTTGTAAGCCATATAGGAGAAATATATAATGAAAAAGCAGATTCTTTAGCAAAAAGAGGAGTTAAAAACAAGCAAGAAAAGATCCAAGAAAATTATGAATCAATAGCAAAAATCAGATACTTACCAAGATGGCAAAAGCTTCTAATTGAAATAAAACTAAGAAAGTTTATTAGAAATCTTACAACGACTATCTACGAAACAGAGTAGTCATTATCAAGTAATATTAAAAAATTCTTTTTTGGTTCAGGAAAAAGCTTTAGCTGGGTAGCACTATGGAGCCTATTTCAAAATTCACAGGGTCAGTCCTGTTTTTCAATGATGGGAAGCAAACACTGGGTAACAAGAATCAAGATATTGCATAATAGACTACCCACTTTGGATCATTGCATAAGACATAATATCTATAATAAACGAAGTGCTCAGTGTTTTGTATGTAATAAAGAAATTGAAACCTAACTTCACTTAACTCAGTGTAAGGAATATGAGGAGATTTGGAATAAAATCGAAAACGAAATAATAGAGAAATTAATAAGTGAAACCATCGCTACTAAAAAAAGCATCAACACTAATAGTTTACATAAAGAACTTAAAAAAATAGTGTTTGAAGCTAAAGAAGTAGATGAAAAAAATGGTAGAAGCTTGCTACTCAAAGGTTTAATTAATGCAAGGCTGCACAATTGGATTTGCATCAAAAAGAACGACAAAAATGTCATTGATACAGAAATTAAAATCTTAAAGCTAGTGTTTGAGGGTTTCATAGAAAAAATTTGGAAATATAGATGCGAAGAGTTTAGCAAAATCAAAAACATATACAAAAAAAAATCAGCTAATAAATAGAATAAAAAACATACAAATAAAGCAAGCCAGCAATTAGGAGGAAAAAAGAATCTGCTACAACAAGAAAGAGAAAAAGTATCAAAGAAAATAGATAAGATGAAAAATGGTCTAAGGCTATAGCATTTACGGAAAAATATGTTAAAAAGTGGATTGTTTCAAAAAAGAAACAAAATTGGTGGAAACTTAAAAATTAAACTTGGGTGGTTTTGACAAGGCTGGCAGCTGTCTATCACATCCATGATGAACAGATGCTCTGGCAAGTCGCATTTAAATATAATTATGTAATTTTATTTGGGTGGGCCAAACTTAAAAGTTGGTTAGTACTAAACAACAATATATATTTGTATCAAATAAATTGAATAAAGTTATGGCAGGACTGTCTAGGTTTAAAAAAAAAAAAAAAAAATTAATTATTTAATTACCTGTTATAATACGAGTTGATGTAATATTACTTGTATTATCATTTGCTTAATAAATTAATTCTTCTAAATGTTTATATATAGTATCTGGTACTCGATTAAGTGGTGGAGAAGGATGTGTATGAATACCTTTAGATAAAAAAATTACATATAGGCAATTTTTTATATCTAAAGGCATTAGTCTATAATATTTAACATTATATGTTTTGTGAACTATTAATTCTTGTTTAACAATATTTCCTATATGCAATTCAAACAACTCTTTCTAATGATCATTTGGACTATATTTTTCTGAAAAACTTTTTGACTAAAAAACAGTAACGTACTGCAAGAAAAAAGTAAGATGTGGGAAAAGGGCGTAAGAAGAACCGCACTTGTCGTTTAGAGATAGTTCTCATACACTACCTGCCGACAAGCTCAGAGTTTATCACTTATGGCAGCACGACACTTGTCATTTAGAGATAGTTCTCATACGCTATCTGCTGACAAGCCCAGAGTTTATCACTCACCGAAAAAACTTAGTACTGTGCA